ATTTTTAAAGCTTTCCATTGATGTAGGGGTGAAAATCGGCAAAAGCGCCAAGACATTTTGGACAGCCGTGAATGCACCAATTCACGTACATTCAATTTTATAGGAAGTGGATGAACAGATGCTTAATGTACAGAACAAAAATTCGTCTTATTTTGTGGAATGGATCCCTAACAACGTGAAGACCGCTGTATGTGACATCCCACCGAGAGGAGTTAAGGTTTGTTGAAAACTTGATAATATTGTGTCATCATAAGTTTTTGACTGTAGATGGCTGCCACATTTGTGGGCAACTCAACCGCTATACAGGAACTTTTTAAAAGGATCTCCGAGCAATTTACAGGTGTTTTTTTGCAATGCTCTGCCAATCTGCTCTCTTCGAAATTTTTATGAAATTCAGCTATGTTTCGTCGTAAAGCATTCCTGCATTGGTACACTGGCGAAGGTATGGACGAAATGGAGTTCACCGAGGCCGAATCGAACATGAATGACCTGGTTTCCGAGTATCAACAGTATCAGGTAAATCTTGACACGCTTTCATTTGTTATTTTATCTAAGCGGTTGATCGACCGACACAATTACCGCCTTGACCGCGAAATGTTGCCAGATCATTTGCTTGTTGTTTACCTTAGAAAATAGAACAAAGCGATACAGCATGTAACTGCAGTATTTTCGGAAAAGTTCTTTATCCAGTAAAGTACAAGTTCGTTAATCTAAGGGGCTGCGCTGCCCCTCAGTCGCTTTACCAACTAAACACAGCAATTTTCTGCGATTATCTCTCGTTCATGAACACAATAGCAGTTCTTAGGGAACGCACCAAAATAATCGGCCTTATATAGAATACCAAAACCCAAATTCCTAATTTTCTTAACCCTTTGTAACCTTATAAGCATCCACTTTATGTCAAAACACGACAAAATTATAAGAGTGCTAAGACTTATGTGTACTTACCTATATCTAGACAGTTGACAGAATTTGGACTAATTAAATGGATATGTATGTAAATGTGGGGAAGGTTGACATTTTCAATGTATCTTCTCACAACTTTTGTAACTCGGATTTATTATTCAAGTATAGAATGGAAAAAAGACTGTTTATGCGGATAAATTAGTCTCTTAGGAGTTCTTGAGCAGAAATTGTTATAAATATCGCTATGAACCGAAATAGAACAACGAGAAAAATTTGAAAATCCACAGAATAGTCTTTGACGTTCAAAACACAGGTTCTGGTTTCCAAAACCTGCAAAGAACTTTTCCGTGTACGAGGTTTCACTTTGAATTAATAGGCTTTACAACAAAATTACTTGTAGCGCATTGAATAAATTGGCGAACTGACGAACTCTCTCCTTTAAAACCTTCTATAAACCAGAAGACTAAATGAGACCTAACTTCCTTTTGGCAGCATTGAGATTTTAGCACTGCAATGCGTCGTATAGTAGGCGAAGTTCGTAACAATTTGAATGAGTTGCGTTATAAATTCCTGCTCAAATCCCGGAGCTGAGATATGTGCA